AGTCTACTTTTTTCTGTGAAAGTCTGCGAAAAAGTTTACTTAAAAAACATGTTATTTTTGTAATTGACCAAAACATTGACTTTTTCGTAAGTAGACTTCACTTGTAGACTTCAGATATAAAATGTTAGTTTTACATTTGACCAGGCCATTGACTAACTGAGTAGATTTCTAGCGTAGACTTCCGGTATGAGTCGACTTTTCTGACAGTCTACTAGTGAAGTCTACTGGTTTCAATAGAAGTCTACATGATAAAATATGTTATTTTTGCAATTGATTGTCCATAATAGACTTCACTGGGTAGTCTACTAAAAAAAAAGTCCTTCGATGTTTGACCTGAAAATTGAAGTAGAACTTTAGGAAGAAGTCTACCTTTTACTTCAATTTTCTGGAAATTTTTAACTTTTTTTCAACTTTAGTCAAACACAAAAATGACCTCTACGTTTTTAGTCAAAATACAAAAGTAACTCAAAAGTAGACTTCTTGGTACATCTGAAGATAGCAACTATTAGAAAGTCAAAATACGGTCAACTACAAAAATAACTTTTTTTTTCTCCCGTAGACTTCTTGCGATTTCGAACAAAGTCTACTAGCTAGACTTTTTTTTTTTCAAAGGATATCGAGTAGGTTTCAGGAAAAGTCTATTAAAGTCTACTGGTTACAAATTTTTAAAAAGTCAATTGCAAAACTAACCTTATGTTGACTAGTAGACTTGATTTTGAAGTTTACTTTCAGAATACAGATATAGATATTACCGAGACTGAAGTGTATCATTATCTATATCTGTTTTGAGTTCGTTTTTAGGTCTCTCATGCACCCAAAACTCTGAATTTCACAAAAAAACAACACAGGTCTCGATTAAGCTGAAATCACCAAAAATGCATAACCTTTAACATTGTAACTCAGCCTAGATGTTTTAGAGAAAAAATTAGGAAATAATAAGGAATGTTATGAGTGTATGAGCTCTTATATTAACTTATTACGGCTTTAAAATCGGTTGAGAAACATTTATTCTATTTTTGGGGTTGTTCATGGTGGTTAAAGGTATTGAAGAAGATGATATATCATAATAAAGAAATCTTTAGGAGGTCCAATGAGACTTTAGCCAATATATTTAAAAAATTAAAATAATGAATTTATAATGGGATCTTCGTTAATAGCCTGAGAGGGATGGATAAAATTGTGACAAAATGGCAAAAGTGAGAGAGAAAAAAAAAATGTTATTTTGGTATTTGACTTTTTTTTATGAAGTTAAATCTGAAAATCTCCTAAAAAAAATTGTTTGGATATTTCTTTTATTACTAATTTTTTTTTGAAAATATATATGTCTATGTGGAATAATAATAAGATGACATGGGTCATTTGTTGAACAAACGAGAATTTTACTGGAGCCATTGTGTTGACTTTTTACTTTCCAGCTCTAGTGGGTAAGTCTACTTAATCATCTTGAAACAATTTCGATTATGCATTGGCTACTTTGAGGCTCAAGATACAGTTTTGACTATCTGATTTTCAGGACCTAAACCTATTCTGAGAATTACCATGTGGACGTTGCTAGAACGTGTAGTGAGGATTTTAGTATTGAAGACGCTCTGTATTCAAGAAGCTCTGTGTTTTACAACTTTAATAGTGTCATTCAGTGACTTTGGATACAATATTTCTCTCGATTCATGTATTAGCTAGAGTTACTGCTAGTATTGATATTGGTAAAAATATAACTTTGAGGCAGCAAACTTTAGGAAGACATCCAAAGCTTTTGTGTTATTTATATATCCACTTGAACGTCTCTTCTTAATATCAGTTATATAATATAGAAACTCTTAGGCAATGGTTTATGTATAGATTTTGTATCATTTAATGGTATATGGTTCAATCATTTTGACCTGGTCCATGATGAGATCGCTTACATAGTTACGTGAAGCTCGCTAGAGGGTGCAAGCTCTCTTAAGGTATAACTATATATATATAGTCTCTACTCTCTAATACCACTTCCATCTTGGACTTGTAGAGAATTCTATATGCTTATGAACATCCATGTAAATCTTGAGATCTTCATGTGATTCGAGGGATTTCTTGAAAAAAAAAAACACTTGATGACCTGAAAGGCTTCGTCTGAAAGTTGCAACAGCGCTTTGACATAGGAGCACCCCGAAGATTAATAAATATAGCCTAACTTTCTATTTTATAGACATACAATTGTGAGCATGTCCCTGAAACGTGAACGGTCTTTAATTAAAAGTTTAAACGCATAGTGTCGAGATGTGAATTGAAATGTATGGTGACAGCTCTTCAAATCCTATTCAGTTTCAAGGCCATTCCTTTCACACCGTTGGCAAAAAAAAAGAACCATTTCACCAGCTTAGCTGATTAAGGCGTGCTTATGCGACAAAATGTCGACGTGCTTCTAGAATTGGCCTTAATGACATAATGATAGACACCAGATCACACTGAATGTTAGGAAGAGTTATTACTACTTTTGACTAGTCTCTTGTATTTCTCCATTCTCATTGTATTCATGTCTTATTTGACTTGTCTCTTAGTATTCATAAATTATATTTGTATATAAGCTAGCTAGATCAAACTATTACTGTGAGAGACTAATAATATTCTTCCTATTCCATTTCTCTCATCATCTCAACATGGAAGGGTTTTTGAGAATTATGACATCTCTCATCCATAATTAATTGTAATCATCATAGACTCATAGTGTGTGGTTAATCGCATTATGTAAAATTTTGATATAATGTTCTGGCATATGAGCAAGCAAGGAACCTTTTCAAATTTTGCAGGTTTTTACTTTTTTTTTTTTTTTTTGGCAAACGCAGGTTTTTACTTTTAGGTTTTCAAAGAACTGGTGAATGGAAACCAAACGGGACAGAATCAAAGTAAAGAATGAGAAAAATTAAAAAAGAAGCCAAATAAAATTGCATATATTAAGTGTCATCCAAAGGAAACAAGAAAAAGGAAAAATAACCAACAGACTGTTATAAAGACATTTTGACTCTTCAAATGTGATTCAGGAAAGTATAGAGCACATACGTTCGTTGGCGTTGAAGTCCCTTATTGAAGAAATTTTCATCGTAGTCGTCTACCATGCCTTCAATTCTTCTAAAGCTGTTTCTCACCGGATCATACAATAAAATATAGAAAAATTTACTAAACATGGACGGTACAAAAACAAACTCACCAGCATGAGTATAACCTTTTAGATTGAAATAGGTTTTCAAACTCTCATTAAAGTGAACAAAAGGTGAAAGAAAGTCTTGAGACGACCACTTGTGTTTCCCTGCATCCTCCAAAATCCACAATCTGTTTTTCCTCCATACTTTATCAACACAAGCTAACCTTCCCCCATAATTTATTAGCATATCCCTATGAATATCGGATGGTAAATCTATCATACCCAATTTTTCAAATTTGACATCAAAGCTCATTATAACCCAGACACCCATCTTATAGATATCAGCTATATAATATATAACCCCCCGTTGATGCATCGCCCTGAATCATGGAAGCAAACATGATGCTTATGGTTAGTTTTGACAGGTCTCCATGATTCTTGGGTTGATCCCAGTGTTAAAACTTGGCACACATCAGAACTTCTTCTTGAAGGAATGCACATCAGTTTGTGTTTACCTTCGGTTGGATCATATCCTAATAACATTGCTATACTCTCCCAACTCTTTCTTAATCTAGGTAAGGTTAAGAACTGTCTCTTGTTAGGATTCCAAACTATCGGCTTTCCTGATTTATCTTGAAAGCAGATCAAGCCGTTGACAGATTCCGTAGGAAGGAAGCAACTATATTCTTTTGGGAATTCCATCTGATAACGATCAAATATTGGTTGAGAAAAAGAGTAAGAAGAAGAGTCTTTTGAGACCAGATGAAGTTGCAGAATCGAGGAAACAAACAACTTGCCATCTTTTTTGAAGCAGACTAAAAGACCCGGCTGCAGTAAGGGTCGAGTTTCAAACGACTTGATGAAATATGAATCCGTGGTGATTGATGACCAAAGCTTCGACACGCAACGAAACCTAAAAACAGATCTTGGAGGTAGCCTTAAGAGTATCTCTGAGGTTAATTCCAGAGGAAGAAAGCACAAAGTTGATTTTGGTTTTGTTCTTCTTCTTCTGTAGACGAGTCTTTCTTCTTCTGTAGCCAAGTCTTCCTTCCTGGTTTCTTGTTCCTCCATCTCTAGAGGAAAGGACGGAACTGATTTCGATTGTGTCCTTCTTTTTCTGTAGACTTTTCTCTTCTTCTCTTCTTCTCTTCTTGTTGCTCCATTTTTGTTAAAAACCCTAATTTGCTCAAGCTGCTTTTCTATCGAACATATACGTCATATGTTCTAGGTTTTTTATTTTTATACTAATATATGTAAATAATTTGAAGATATTTCACATATATATTTTTTTATGTGAAATGGAAAGGAGAAACGGTGGAGATTCATGGGATTATAGTAAGAGAAATTAGAGGCAAAACCTAATTAAATTAAGGAATAACCAAAAAAAAATATTTTTGTTTGGATATTCCTTTTATTACTAAATTTTGAAGATATATATATATGTTTATGTTAAATACAGTAGAAAAAGTAATAAACTCGATAAATTAATAATTTTTCATGGTCCCGAGTTGGGCCGGTTTAAATTATGACACAATTAGATAAGATAATAAGATAATAATTTTAACAAAATTCCTATGTAAATATATGGTTATATTAATATCATAAATTAATAATTACCATAAATAAAATCTAATATAAACATATAAGTGAGATAATCTACTAAAATATGAGTTTAATAAAGATTTATTTATTTATTTTAAATTGAAAACTCTTTGTAACTCATCTTTAATTTTAGAAAAAATGTTTTAAAGAATAGAATTTTAAAATAATTTCTTTTAAAATTAATAAAAAATAAAAAATATTTTTTATTTAAAATCTATAAATTAATAACTCTATAAATTAATAAATATCAAAGTTTCAACATTATTAATTTATGAAGTTTTTACTGTAATAAGATGACATGAAATTTTTCAAATCTGACATCAAAGCTCATTATAACCCAATCAATCGTCCTATACATATGGGCTATATAATATATAACCCCGTCAATGCATCGCCCTGAATTACGAAAACGAGAACGATGCTTATGGTTAGTTTTGACAGTTCTCCATGATTCTTGAGCTGATCCCAATGTTAAAACTCGGCACACGTCGCTACTTCTTCTTGAAGGAATGCACATTAGTTTGTGTTTACCTTCGATTGGATCATATCCTAAAAATATTTCTCTAGTTTTCCAGCTTAGTCTTGGTTTGGGAAAAGTTGAGACATGTCTCTTTCTAGGGTTCCAAACTATCGGCTTTCCTGATCCTGGAAAGCAGATTAAGCCGTGGACAGATTTCGTAGGGGTAAGTGTTGGACTTTTCTAAGCCCATATCCAACTCCCTGATATTGTCCGCTTTGAGCCCAACTGATAAAGTTCGCACGGATTTAGTTTTGGGCTCCTTCCCAAAAGGTCTCATTCTAATTGGAATTGGACATTACTTATATATTAGACCATATTGGTCTAAACTTCCGATGTGAGACTTTGGATTGATGCCCAACAATCTCCCCCTCAAGCCAAAGTCCACATTAACTCTTGGTCTCCAACCTACAGCGATATTTAGTACCATCTTGTACATTTTAATCGCAAGGTCATCTTGAAGGTTTCTCTCCTACACCGAACATTCAGTCCAATCTCACTTCTCCAGGTCTATTTTTTTCTTAACCTGGGCTCTGATACCATTTGTTGGGCTTTTCTAAGCCCATGTCCATCTCCCCAATTAATATGATATTGTCCGCTTTGGACCCAACTGATAAAGTCCACACGGATTTAGTTTTGGGCTCCTTCCCAAAAAGCTTCATTCTAATTGGAGTTGGACATTACTTATATATTAGACCATATTGGTCTAAACTTCTGATGTGAGACTTTGGATTGATTCCCAACAGTAAGTAACTATATTCTTCTGGGAATTCCAAAAGATAACGATCAAATATTGGTTGAGACGAAGAGAAAGACTTGTTTGAATTCTGATGAAGAGAATGTGTATGTTGGGAATCGAGGAAACAAACAAGTTTCTATCTTTTATGAAGCAGAGTAGAAGACTCGGCCGTGGGGACCTAGTTTCGAACAAGTTGATGAAATAGGGATGGGTGGTGATTGATGACCAAAGCTTCGACACGCAACAAAACCTCCCCACAGATTTCTCAGGCAGACGTAAGAGTATCTCTGAGGTAGGCCTGGGCTTAAAAACCGACCGAGAGGATCCGAACCGACCCGACCCGAAAAACGCAGTTTGGTTCGGTTTCGGTTCCTTCACTAAAACCGAATGGTTCCAAATTTAATTTGCATCGGTTTTCGGTTCGTGTCGGGTTGGACCCGAGACCCATTCGGGGACCCGAAAACCTGAAATTAACAAGCTAATATAAGTTTTAGAGAATTAATTATGTGTATAATGTTGTTTATGTAATTGTTATTACATAAGTATGTAATTATTGCCAATTTTGGATCGGATATTATCTAAAATGCTTCTTTCTCTCTCTCACTTTTTGACATTTCTTCAAATTTTTCCTGTAAATAGCAAAAAAAAAAACGCTGGAAGACCTAAGTCGATTTCTCAGCCGCCGGTCACCACCTTCGACTTCGACACCTTCAAAGCGAATCCCAGAAACAGCTTCATCAAGAAATCAATCACATGTATGGTTCATCGAGAACTCAATCACATCGACAATCATCATCTTTATCTTTTTGTTTTCATTTGAGGATTAGGGTTTGATTTGACCGAGTAGATATTATAAATGCAGATGGGTTCTTCATCGCCTCACCTAAGTGATTACGAACCTGAAGATGGAGGAGATGAATTCGAGACTACTGCTCCTGCACCTGCAACTGGAAAGCGGAAAGGAAATGCATCTGAAGGAAGCTCTCTTCCATCAAAGAAGAAGAAGAAAACCACGACCCCAAGGTCGGTAGTCTGGAAACACTACACGAGAACTGAACAGGATGAAGATAAGTGCAACTTCAATTACTGTGGCAAGGAAATGTGCTGCAAAACATCATCTGGGACTACAAGCTTGAATAAAAATCTCCGCTGTTGCAAGGCATTCAACACATGGAATGAGACCAACTCTCAATGCCAGCATACTTTAAATCAGGAAGGGGAGCAAGGGCAGTTGAAGCTATCGAAAGTTTCTGAAGCAGTTTTCCATGAAGCCTGTAACGAGATGTTGGTTTTGGGAGAATTGCCTCTAGCATTCATAGAGAGTTTGGCTTTCAGACATTTCTGCGCAAGGCTTAACCTTCACCAGCCACATTCTAGAAGACAAGCAACTCGTGACATTGTGGAAATGTTTGTCAAGAGAAAAGCTGCGATGATGATGATTCTAAAGGGTACTAAGCAACGGCTATCCTTGACAACAGACATCTGGGTTGCTCCAACGACGGCTGCATCTTATATGGTGATCACTGCACACTACATTGATGCATTTTGGAAGCTGAGGAAGCTAATTATTGGGTTTAGGAATGTCACAGACCATAAGGGAAAGACTATATCTGCTGTTCTGATGGAGGTTTTGGCTGAGTGGGATATAAAGAGATTGTTCACCATCACGGTGGACAATGCCACTGCTAATACATCAGCTTAGAGGAGATTCAAAGAGGCATTTACTCGGGCAGGAGGTGAGTTGGTTTTAGGAGGAGAGTTTATGCATCTTCGATGCTCTGCTCATATCATTAATCTAGTTGTGAAGGATGGTTTGTATGAAGTGGATAAGGCCGTGACTTCTATTCGGAATGCTGTGTCTTATGTAAGAGCATCAACAAACAGAGTGAAGGCGTTTGATTCTAGAGTTGAGTCACGGAAGATGACAAGAGGAAGTTTAAGTCTGGACTGTAAGACAAGATGGAACTCAACGTACCTGATGCTATTGAGAGCTTCTAAGTTCAAGACTACTTTCATCAAAATGGCTGAAGAAGACAAGTTGTATACTGACCATTTTCAAGAAAAGGTCGATGGGACTAAACGGATTGGGCCACCTACACCAGCTGATTGGGAGTCTGTGGCAAGGTTAGTGAGGTTTCTCATCATTTTTTACAAGTCTACTCTGGTGGTTTCTGCTTCTACTTTTGTCAATTCTTACAAGTGTTACAATGAGATTGTAACTATTGAAAGAAATCTCATTAAGCTGAGTACTGATACTGATGAAGCACTAAGGAAAAAAGCCACTGCTATGAGATATAAATTTGATAAGTATTGGGAAGGAACCAAGAAAATCAATAGGCTGTTGATAGTTGCGAGCATTTTGGATCCGAGAAACAAAATGAAGTTTGCGGATATGTGCTTTGATATGCTTTACGGTAAGGACAGCATGGAAGCTAAGGGACTTCATGATGCAGTCATAGAGGTTATGAAGAGGTTATTTGAAGAGTATAATTCTGCTATGGTCCCACCTGTGAATGCTACATCTTCTCAGTCTGTAGCATCTTCGTCTCAGACTCAGAACCATATTACACAAGAGTCTGAAGAGCAGGTTGAAGGCGATCTAGACTTAGAGGAAGAGCTCGGGTATGAAAGAATGGACTCTTTGTACAAAGAGATGGCAAGTGAAATCGGGTTTCAGGATGCAAGTAACGAGCTGGAGTTATATCTGAAGGAGAGAACAGAGAATCCGAAGACAACTATGGCCGGTGTAGAATATGATGTGTTAGGTTGGTGGCGTCTCAACACTCAGAAGTATCCAGTCTTATCTGAGATTGCAAGGGACGTTCTGGCAATGCAAGTTACTTCGGTTGCTTCTGAGTCTGCTTTCAGCACAAGTAACCGAATTTTAAATCCTTCTAGAAGTTGCTTAACACACTATATGATAGAAGTTTTAATGTGCACTGAGCAATGGATGAAGACTGATAGTCACTTGAATGAGAAGGAAGTTGTTATTACAAAAGAGCAATTGCTTGCTGAGATTGAAATGCAGGATAAACTACAGAGAGGTAAACCTTAGCTTCTAGTTTGTTTTTTATAGTTGTTTGTGCTTCTGGTTTTACGTTTTAACATTAGCTTCGTTAATTTATGTTAGAGTTCGACTTTGGTCATGTAACTGAAGGCTGAATTCCTCATCTGCGATTAGGTATGTATGACACTATCCCCACTTATTTCTATCTTGTAATAGTCTTCTCAGTTTTGAGCTTCCGAGTTTGTCAAGTTTTGACTGATGAGATTTGAGAACGTGTGATTTTTGCAGAACAAGGAGTAGGCGTAGCAGTAGACAACTTAGAGAAGGAGTGAAGAGGCTGAGAGTCTGAGAGCACACAGTGAGACACTGAGTCTGGTTTTCTTTTTGGTTGTGTTCTTTGTGTTCATTTAGACTCTCTTACTTGCCTCTAAAGTGTTTTTTGGATTGCTTTTGGAACTTGGAAATGTGCTGCAAAACATTTTGTTGTCTAAGTCTACTCTTGTTTTGGAGTTAGAGTTATATAAGTTCTAAACTCTGCATATTGGTTTTGTTGTGCTTAAACACTTTCATTTGGAATGTAAGCTACAAAGTTTTTTGTTTTACTCTTTATATTTTGACATTTCAAGTACACTTTTTCGGGTTTTCGGGTCTAATCCGAACCCGATCGGACCCGAAATTTTTTTTGGTTCCTGTTCGGTTTTTTTTTTAAAATTCAATAACCGACCCGAATCCAAAAAGAACCGACCCGAACCGAACCAAATTACACACTAGAACCGAACTGATCCAATTCCTCTAGACCCAAAACCCTGAAACCCGAAAAATCAGACCCGACCCGAACCAAGGACCCGAAGGCCCAGGACTACTCTGAGGTAATATCTCAGGCAAAGTTGATTTTGATTGTAGCCTTCTTCCTCTGTAGTCTTTTCTCTTCTTCTCTTATTGTTGCTCCATGTTTGGTCAAAACCCTAATTTGCTCAAGCTGTGTTACTACCGACCATTTTTATTATGAATTTTCACATGTATATATATATACGTCATATATATGCTCTAAGTTTTTTTGGGAAAATATGCTCTAAGTTTTTTTTCATTTATACTTAATACTAACTTATGTTAATAATAAGAAGATATTTCCATTTTTTAAATTAAAACAAAAAGAAAAAATGGTGGTGATTTTCATGGGATTATAAAAAGAGAAGTTAGAGGCAATAGCCATAAAAACTTTACTAACTTAAGGAAATAGGCAAGAAAAAATGTTACAAATGTCTATAACATACTCTTATGTAAATAATAAGAAGACATGAGTCATATCATATGTTGAACAAACGAGAATTTTGCTGGAGCCATTGTGTTCACTTTTTGTTTTCCAGCTTGATCTCCTAGTGAACTATGTGCTTCATCGAGGATCGGTTCTGGTGGGTAAGTCTACTTAACCATCCTGAAAAATTTCGATTATGCATTTGCTACTTTCAGGCTCAGTATACAGTTTTGACTTGCTGGTTTTCAGGACCTAAACCGATTCTGAGAATTACTATGAGGATATTGCTAGACCCTGTACTGAGGATTTAAGTATTGAAGAAGCTCTGTGTTTTACAACTTTAACAGTGTCTTTCCGTAAGTGACTTCGATACAATCTTTGTCAGAATCGCTTGATGGAAATCATTTGATGAACAGTATAAAGATTTAAGAACTTGTTCCTGTAGTGCTTAACAATTCAAGTTCCAAATAAAAGAAGATTGCAAACAATAATTGACAAGCCAAAAAAAGAACAAGTGACAAACAGAATCTTTCTATGTAAAAAAATTGTGGCCCCTCTATTTTCAGGAAGGGAGGGAATGGAATATTTTCAAAAACCAGTGGTGGAATTGCAAAAAACTTGATGATGTTATTGTGCTTGAAGCCGGGTTTGAGAAGAAAGAACTCAAGGTTATACAATGTGTACATCTACATATTTCATGAAGTCAAAACGTTTTGTGGCATAATGAATATGATCTTATTAGACCAACCTTGACATAGATCCATGTAACTCTCAAATTTTACCTTGAAAGTAAACTTTAGATTATAGTTTTATAGAGATCAATCATTCTCGATCAAGCTAATAGTTTCTAGACACATAATAAGCTAGAAATATATCTATCTCGATCTTATGTTGTTTTGTGTCTTGTAATCGGAAAGCCGGTATTACCAAACTGGTACATAAAATCCCAAAAGTATGTACTCTGGACACACCCATACAACCGGACCAAACTCAATCATTCTATGATATCTTGTACATCACTAACCTCACAGAACATTACCAATCATTGCTGATCTTTTTGAAACAACTTAACCAGTTATATAATTGAATGTACAACTTCAACATTGAAACGGTCTCCACCATATTGAACCATCTAACAGGGATTCTCCAATACTTATAGCTGATTAAGGCGTGCTTTCGACTTGTTTCTGGAATTGTCCATAATTACATATATAACGATTTCACATCTTTATGGCTCAATTCTGATAGACACCGGATCACATATATGGAACGGTTTGGGTAATTGTAGTCATCTTAGTGTGTGATTAATTGTTGCCCAAAAGTTTATATAATGTTCTTGCACATGAGCAAGCTTCATGTTATATACGTTTTCACTTTTTTTTTAAAAAAAAAAACTGGTGAATGGTAATCAAACGGGACAAAATCGAAGTATAGAATGAGAAATTTCAACCAATAAAGTTGCATAAATTAAGTGTCATTCAAAGGAACAAAAAAAAAACCCCCCAACAAACAATTAAAAAGACATTTTGACTCTCAAATTTGATTAGGGAAAGTATAGAGCACATACTCACGTCGGATTTGAACTCCATTATTGAGGAAAGGTTCATCATCGTCTGCGATTCCTTTAAATTCAAATCTTCTAAAGCTGTTTCTCACTGGATCCCAAAAGAAAATATATAAAGATTTACGGAATATGGGCGGTACAAATATAAATAATTTGAAATGGGTTTTCAAACTCTTATTTAAGTGACCAAAAGGTGAAAGAAAGTCTTGACTCGCCCACTTGTGTTTCTCTCCATCCTCCAAAATCCACAATCTTCTTCCATTCTTTTTATCAGCACAAGCTAACCTTCCCTGATAATTTATCCGTATATCAAAACGAATATCAGATGGTAGTCTTATCATCTCGAATGTTTCGGATCTGACATCAATTCTCATTAAAACCAAATCACACGTCTCGTAATTACCAGCTAGATAATATAGAAACCCCTTGATGCATCGCCCAGAAGTAGGGCAAGTAAAATGCCTATGGTTAGTTTTGACAGTTCTCCATGATTCTTGAGCTGATCCCCATGTTAAAACTCGACACTCATTCCAATATTCACCTGAAGGAACGTGTCAAAGTAATTTGCGGAAGTGATTTATTCATCAGTTTAAAAGCATCTATATATACATGTACAATATTTAGCTTTGAGTTAGGAACTAGCAATGTGAGACAAAATAACTATTCTAATAATTTAACTATACAAGGCCTAATAAGCCCATTACTTCTCTTAATACCCCCCCTCAAGTTGGAGCATGGAGCTCTCGAATGCCCAACCTGCACAAAATTCCTTTGAACGGACGTCCTCCAAGTGCTTTGGTGAAGATATCCGCCAACTGATTAGTAGTAGAAACATGTTGTGTCTGAACAATTCCAGCCTGTATATCGTCTCTAATGAAATGACAATCAATCTTCACATGTTTTCTCTCATGAAACACAGGATTATCTGCAATATGAAGGGCAGACTGGCTGTCACAATATAAATCCATTGGACCAGAATGTGCAATACCCATTGTTAACAACACACTCTTTAGCCACTTCAACTCCTTCAATGCCAAAACCATAGCTCGATACTCTGCTTCAGTTGAAGAGCATGATACAGTCAACTCCTTCAATGCCACTCCGTGTGATTGGACATCCAGCCCAATCTGAATCACACCAAGCTATAAGATGAAAATTACAGTCAGCTTTCAATAAAATTCCCATTCCCGGGCATCCTTTCAAGTAACGAACAACTCTCAATGCAGCCATCCAATGATCCTCTCTTGGCTCATTCAAAAATTGAGACAACATGTGAACGGAGTAGGCAAGATCTGGTCTAGTTGCAGCTAGGTAAATCAACCTTTCAACCAGTCTCCGATACTTCTCAGGATCAGCAAGTATCTTTGTTGTCGACCTTCCCAATTGATGATTTGGCTCCATTGGAAACTCAACAGGTCTACCACCAAGCAAACCGACATCAGCAATAATATCCAAAGCATACTTTCTCTGTGATAATTATATATCCTCTGCATTTCTAGCAACTTCCAATCCAAGAAAATATTTCAATTTTCCTAAATCTTTCATATGAAAGCAATTGCTTAAATACGTTTTAAACTTTTGTATCACCTCAGGAGAGCTTCCTGTCACCACAAGATCATCCACATACACTAGAACATGCAAGTGAACTTTATCACGAACTAATGAGAAAAGAGAGTAATCAGCTTTACTCTATGTAAAACCATACCCCAAGAGTGCCTTCGAAAGTTTTGCGAACTAACATCGTGGAACTTGTTTCAAACCATACAGCGACTTGCGCAAACGACATAGCATACCCTTCTTAGAAGCACCAAAACCCTGAGGTACCCTCATAAACACCTCTTCATCCAAATCCCCATGAAGAAACGCATTGTGCAAATCCATTTGATGTAGCTCCCAATGATTCCCAGCGGCAACTTGAAGAACCAATCGAACTGTGCTCATCTTTGCTACAGGAGCAAATGTATCAGAATAATCAATCCCCTCTTTTTGACGATTGCCACATGCCACAAGTCTTGCCTTATACCTTTCAATCGAGCCATCCGCATTATACTTAATCTGTAAACCCATTTACACTCAATTACATGCTTACCTGGTGGTAACTGTTCAATCAACCAAGTTTGATTTCGTTCCTGGGCTTCAATCTCCAGTCTCATAGCTTCTCTCCATCGCGGATACTTCATAGCCTCAGCAAAAGTTTTCGGCACAACTCCTTAATACTACACAGAAATGCCTTGTGTGATACAGAGAACCTTTCACAATTCACATAATTCTCAATGCCGTAATCATTACTCATATCCTGACTTACAGTGGATGTGTTCATTGTAAATGTCGTATTACACACATAATCACGTAACTTGAAAGAAGTTTCTTTCTTTCTCATCCCTCGTCCCAAAGTTTCTGTTGATGTAGGCTGTTGCACAGTTTCAGCCTGTGTCACCGATGCAGGTTCTGTCACTAAAGCAGGCTGCACATTCTCAGATGCAGGTTCTGTCACTAAAGCAGGCTGCACATTC